GTGATATTGGGCTCTTTGGATTTGTCTCAACGAGAAGCTCGATTTTACTATAAGCATGTCAGATTTGGAATATGTTCGACCTTTCAATTATCTAATCAAAGCTTCCAAAAAATGTTTTAACTACTTGATATGGGGTTGATTTAACTCGAATTGGACTAATTTTAGTATTATTGAGTTCGTCTCGTCGAACCAATCAGTTTGACGATAAGTTTGCCGAGAATTCAGAGTTATTGATTATTTTTAATTTAACTTTGAATATTTCTTGCTAAAAAATATCTTTAAGATTCATGCTTTGAGATTAGTATAAGATGATAAATTTTTATATGGTGTATCAAACCGGTTCAATGTCTGATCCATTCTTCATAACCTTGACCAAAACATAACTTAAAAAAGCAATTTATTAAATTTTTAATTGTTAAATTTTTTAGATCATCAGAACATTACTTCATCCTTGAATTTTTCAAAAAGCACGTTCTACTTGTATTTTAAAGTATTTCTCCGAATAAGATGAACTTGAAATTCTTTTTATGAAATTCATGGTTCATCATTGAATCTATCATCAATTAAATTTTAGTTTTCGGCTCCCACTCATATTTAGGGTTGTAAACAAGTCGAGCCTAAGCGAGCTCAGGGTTGGCTCGTGTTCGAAATGGCTCGTGAACAGTGTGTTCGTGTTCGGCTCGATTAATATTTTCCTGTTCATGTTCAGCTCGAGTTCGGCTCGAAATTGGAGAAGGAGATGACATGGAAGAGGAAGAGAGCCCTAAACTCTCGGAAGATGACTCAAAATAGGAAGAGGAAGACAAACACAAACACCAAACCATAAGTTCTCTCAGCCGAAACCCTTCCACGATTTTGAGAGGAGAAGAATATGACGCGAAAGAGGAAGAGAATCGAAACAGAACTTGCAGACGAACACAAACATCAAGCCCTAAGCTCTCGTGGTCAAAAGCCTTTCGCAGTTTTGAGAGGAAGGAGAAGACTCAGAAAAGGGAGAGACAGCCGAACCCAAGAACATTCAAAAGGGGAATGGGAGGTCAGAGCTTAGGGCTTTTTTAGCTATATACTTAGATATTATACTAAATTAATTATATAACTTATATTGTATAAATATATAATAATTATATAAATAATATAAATTATAATATTATTATTATTATTAATTTGTTATATATTATAATTTATAGGATTTATTTTTTTTTAAATTTGATAATTTTTTTTTATTTTAATAACTTAATTAATAAGAGCATATATTCATTTGATCTAGAAGATTAGCCTAAGAATAGAAACTTTTGGGCAACTCCTCATTATTATAGTTATTAGTAATGCAGATTTCAACAACATACAGAGTTATTTTCTAACTATTCTAACAAAGTCAACTGAAATAAAAAAAAGAGAAAAATTTAATTATATTTATGAGAATATAATTAGTCATGATTCATGCATGAAACAAAGCCCCGGATGCCTTGAATATTTACTTTTACATATATATATATATATATATA